TTTATGATGATATCCTTGACAATGAAGAATATCAACAACAATTTGGACAAGGAAAAAAGGCCCACCCTAATTACAGGGATGATCCATATTTTCAAAAGTTAAGGGGGGACTTCCAAACACTACCCCCAATTCTAAAGGCCACTGTCCATCCTGAGGCCCCAAAAATAAAATGGGCCCCGGGACCTCCAATTTGGGTGGAACAGTGGCCATTGCCTGCTTCCAAATTAGAACAACTGCACCTGTTAGTCAACCAACAATTTGAGTTCGGACATCTCTGTAGGTCCCTAAGCCCCTGGAATTCTGTGTTTGTCATACAAAAAACCAATGGGTCCTGGAGGCTAAAAAATTAACAACTCTTACCTCCGAAGGTATGACCCTTCCCATCCCATCATTCTGTATATTTTCCCTGGGGAATCTCTTCTTACAGCCCTGCTCGCCCAAGAAGGGGAACCACTTCAATGGGTCCATTTGTCCTTGGGTGGGGCTCCACGGGTCTACTCTATGGTTGACCAGCTAGCTGATTGTATCATTAAAGGGAGAGAACTTTCTATTAGACTGTTTGGTGCGGAACCCTTTTCCCTAATTATCCCTTTTCGGGTTCAAGATTTTACTTGGCTTCAGAAAAATAACCCTCGAGTTGCTCTAGCGTTGGAGGGTTACTTGGGCAAGGTGGACTGCCATTATGGACCTCACAAATGGATGAGTTCTTTTGGAAGGCTCTCCTGGAAGCCACCCGTAACCTTCCTGTCACGGGCTGACCCTAGCTTCCCCACCATATTCACAGATGGAGGTAGATTGGGGGCCTCTGTTGTGATCTTTCCCCCTTATCAAGGAATAAAGTCCACCCCTCAAAAACTTTTACGTAGAATTGAAGGATCAGCTCAATTCAAAGAGTTGTATGCAATTACTCTGGACTCTGGCCTTCTCGGTGGTAGAAGGCCCCCTTAACCTTTTCTCTGATAGTCTTTATGCCGTCAATCTCCTCCCCAACCTAACAAACGCATATATCCGCCTGGACTCTAATCCCATAACGCCCTTAATGATACAAACAAGATATCTTCTCAGAAAGCGGTCAGCTCCCCTCTTTGTTCAACACCTTAGGGGACACCAAGGACTCCCCGGAATACTTTCTGAGGGTAATAGCCTCGCTGACCAATTGGCCTCATCCTCCCACTCTTTCACCGTCTCTGAGGCAACTAATTTTCATGACCTCACTCATACAAATTGGAGAGGACTTCACCATAAATTTCCTGAAGTTCCCATTAAAGATCTTAAAAGGATTGTTAGAGCTTGTCGCTCGTGCCAACCTTTTCTCCAAGTTCCGCCTTTGCAAAAATCAGGAAGCAATCCTCGGGGCCTACGGTCCAATAACCTTTGGCAGACTGATGTTACCCATTACGCCCCTTTTGGAAAACTCAAATATGTCTTTGTCTCCGTGGATACCTTTTCTCACGCTTGCTGGGCCTCTGCTCATACGGGAGAAAAGGCTAAACACGCCATAAGCCACATGCTACAATGCTTTGCCACTCTGGGACTCCCTGATCAAATTAAAACGGACAATGGTCCCTGCTTTACTAGCCAAACATTTCAAAGTTTCTTACAGACCTGGAGTATATCTCACTCCACTGGGATCCCATACAATCCAAAAGGTCAAGCCATTGTGGAAAGACAAAACCAAACTCTTAAATGGATACAGAAAATGTGGCATATATATACAATGGAATACTATTGAGCCATGAAAGAGAACAGAATCCTGTCATTGACAGAAACATGGATAAGCTTGAAGGACATTATGTTAAGTGAAATTAGCCAGGCACAGAAAGATAAACAGCACATGTTCTAATATATGGAAGCTAAAAAAGATGATCTCTTAAAAGTAGACAGATTTGTCATTATAGAGACTTTGAAGCAGAGGGAGGATAGGAAAAAGTTGATTGACAGATACAAAATTATGGTTAGATATGAGTAATAAGTTCTAGTGTTCTGTAGAACTGTAGGCTGACTGTAATTAATAACTTATTGTATATTTTCAAATAACTAGAAGAGTGGATTTTGAATGTTCCCAACACAAAGAAATGATAAATGCTTGAGGCAATGGATATGCTAATTACCCCGATTTGATCATTACATTCTATACATGTATTGAAATATCACACTGTATCCCATAAATATGTACAATTGTTATGTGTCAGTTAAAAATAATAAAAGTCAAAAAACAAACAGAAAGAGCCAGGAAATAAATCTCCAAAGATAAACTAATACTGCTTTTAGCTGGAAACTGAGGGTGACGTTAAACCAAAATCCTTGCTGGTGTATCATTCCAGAACCCCTAGGGCGCTTAGGTAATGCTGAACAGCACACACCTCCTATATAGCGTCCAAACTGTATGTGAAGGAAAATCTTTCTTACAGGCGTCTCTGACTGAAGGTGATGTTTCTGGTCATTCTTCTAGAGCTTTCAGTTACAAATAATATCTATGTGGTCTTTCGGCTTTCCAATACTACGTCATCACCGTAGCCTCTATACCCAGGAGGCACCACAACCTTCCAGGCATATTAGGTGATGGTGAAGTATCGGATGTGGGGTGCCGATAGGATGACAGTACTTGTATGAGAGATTTACAGAAGAGTTTTTACCATAAGGCATTGGAGGCACTGACTAGGCTTGGAAAGACATGTCAACACAAATAATGAATGAAATAGGGAAGAAATGGCTCCTAAAACTTTTGCTGACTTCACGGTTTTGAGAAAATGATGATCCAAAGCAAAAATCTTTTACTTTGCTAAGGAGGCTGAAGTATGCAATGTGGGCAGTAAACATGTTGAAGAACTATTAGCATCACTGATGAAGGGCAAAGAACTTACTGCTAAGAAACTCTTCCAACTCGTGGGCACTACTGGCGTGAGGCGGAGGAGGAAGAGGAGCTCCGTTATTTATTTATTTTATTTATTTATTATTTTTCCTTTTTGTCTTTTTTACTGACCGGTAACGGGATCGCAACCCTTGGTGTCGTGCCCGTACCGGGGACCGGCAACATGATCGCAACCCTCGGTGTTGCGCCCGCACCGCGCTCAGCCAGTGAGCGGGAACCGGTCTCCACATGGGATCCGAACCCTCGGTGGGAGGGCTGCCGCGCTCCTAAGCGGCGCACTCTCCAGTGCACCACCGGGCCGGCCCGGAGCTCCGTTATTTAAATGCCCAATCTTTATGATTAAGACCATGCAGACATCACGGGTCTGTTGCAAGTCAGCATGGTCAAAACATGAACAGAAGCACCAAATTACAACAAAACTACAAGCTGGATCTCATGTTGTCGGGAGTTCTAAGACCACAGGTCAAGGGAATGCAAACAGATGCCCATGTTGGTTTTTTCATCTCATAGCTGCCAAAGACGGTTCCCAGCTATCCATTTCCAGAGTCTTGACTGCCCAGAAAATTGGTCACCAGTTTCTCGAATTTGGTCACTGGATGAATCTCAGATGCTGTTTCTCTCACACCTTCATGAGCTTACTCTGGCTCTCATACCCCACCACAAAAGAGCCGCCATCCCTTCTGCCCATCTCCCTTCTCTTGCCACCAAATGCCCCTCAGGAAACTCTTCAAAGTGCTCTCTAGTCAATTAAAAAGAGGCATTGTTTACGTATTTTGCCAAATATTAAAAGCATTCATTATGTCTCTCCAAACATATTTCATCGCTTATTTTTGTAAGTTCACTGAAGCAAGATGTAATTTTTGTCTAATATTGTACAATATTGTTGTGTTCTATATACATACATGCCCACCAGTGAGTTCACTGAGAATTAAACAATTAGGTACCTGATGTTTTAAAGGCTTTCTGTGATACAGAAATCCTTGGCAGATATTAAAGGGGTTTTTAAATGTTTGGGTTATTGGTCAAAGTTTCTGGATAAACTGAGATCTCAGACACATTATTAATTTTCCGTTTTAAATAATGGAACACATGTACTTTAATCCCCAAATCTGTTCTCTAACACTCTTTCAGGAACAGATTAGACGTGGGTAACAAGAAATGCCTGTGTATGAAAGTGCTTTATAAACTGTTGGGTGCTGTATCAATGTAAACTATTACCATTTTCAGGTAAAATCAGAGAACAGATTTCCCTGTTGTTGGAAGAGTCCTCTTAGGACTCACCAGTCCAACCTCCCACTGACTGGATGAGGACACAGACTGAGGCCCAGCGGCATGACAGTCACGGTGAGTGAAAGAATCTGTAGTCCCAGCATAGCACTCTTTTTTCTTCCCTATGTAATTTTATCTTTTAAAACACTAATGTTTTATCTTTTAAAACACGATGGGGCCGACCCCGTGGCACACTCGAGAGAGTGTGGCGCTGGGAGCACAGCGACGCTCCCACCGCAGGTTCGGATCCTATATAGGAATGGCCGGTGCGCTCACTGGCTGAGCGCGGTGCAGGCAACGCCACACCAAGGGTTGCGATCCCCTTACCGGTCACGAAAAAGACAAAAAAAAAACAAAAACAAAAACAAAAAAACCCCACGATGCTGGGAGCACCATGCCCTTTAATTTTTTCTTTTTATTCTTCTTTTTAAAAGATGACCGGTAAGGGGATCTTAACCCTTGACTTGGTGTTATCAGCACCACACTCTCCCGAGTGAGCCACGGGCTGGTCCCTAAAATTTTTTAATTAATGGACATTTACAATGAGAAGACTTTCTACCTAGCTCTGAACTTGGCATATTGTAGGACACTCAATAAATAGTTGACGAATGAGAAATCTGGGGTCAAATCATTAAAGTTCGTCTTGGTCGCTCCTCTCTCGCGAAGAAACCCATCGACTTAGAATCACCTCCTGCAACCAACCAAAACAAAAAGGTGATTGAATTCCAAAAACCGAAAGAGCATCCCAAGCATCTGACATTTCACAAAGAACTATCTTTGTAACAATGATACCCGTTCCCATTCTTTGTAGCTGAAACATTTGGAGAAAATGTGAATGTGATAATATAAATCTTACATGCAAATACTGTCTACTGTAATTACACAAAAGATTTTAAAAGTTAAACTTGCCTCAGCTATAGTATTCTCCTAGCACATTTCAGGAATTAGGCATGCTAGTATAAAAGCTAGTATTTAGCATCAGAACAGGTTTGTCACGGCACTGCTGTATCTGGGTCAGCCACTGAGCAGGGAGAAGTGGATTCTGATCAGCACGGTACGAAAAACTAACCTACTGGAGATAAGCAGGACAAATTGGTGGGAGGAGGCACGGGGCCCTGGAGACCGACCAGCAGGTCTGTGATGGTTGGGGTGTGTGAACGAGGAGGAAGGGTGGAATGTAAGGGAGAGAAGGAAAGCGATGCCACACTGCATGTGGGGAGGACAACGTCACAGCCCTATGAGCAGAGGGGAGGGGCACAGAGACATTAACAAATGCTGGACGAGTGGACAATGAATCTGGTAGCCCTGGCAGAAAAAATCAGCCAAGATGATGGGAGGAGGCTCAGTTCAATATGGAAGCCAGATGAGCATCTTGGGAGGCACTGAGTCAACAAGGACACCTTCGTCTTTGGGAATAAGACTTACAAGAGCTCCTGGCCTGACCAGGAGGTCACAGGCCGCCTGTGAGAGAGCAGTTTCAGCTGAGCAATGGGGCTGTCACAGGTAAAGGAGCAGGGCATTAAGAAACAGTGGGAGTCAGCACAGACTTCATGACCAATGCGTTCTGTGGGGAAAAGGTGAGACAGGCTCACAGGGCCTGAAAAGGCTTTCTGCTACCAAGGCAAGGCCATTTTCCTGGGACCACACATTCCAGAGGATACCATGTGATGCACAGAATATCCGGGACTACATGAATTTGTCCGAGTTTACCCACCTGAACTTTAATACTTCTCAAACATTCTGGTGACTCCATTTCTTTATCGGTCATGGAAGAGGGTTTAATCAAATAGCACAGCATAAGTTCCTATTGAGAGATGAAAAACAATGTCCTTATCCTACCAAATAATAGTACAAATTTGGGTGCATCAGCAGGAAATGCAGGTGGTCTCCATTCCCTCTCACTGTGTGCTCCCGGAAACACCACAAAGTGGAAACTCACAGAGCACATTAGCTTCCTCCTGTGAACTTTACAACTGGGGCTCGCATTCTTGACTGAGGACCTGCCATTAAGTAATCACTGACATACGAATAAAGCTGATATGTTGATGATAAACGTAGCATTTAAAATATTAAATATATGCTACAAGTCCCATAAAATGGGCATAAAAGTACTAGAAATAACGTAGACTCCTATTTCCTACAGGACCAACGTAAATCCTCAGCAACTTAACATGTTTAGGGGTGGTCATCTCTGGCCCTGCTGGGCCCTCCAGCCTCACCCCCAACTGTGTCTCCAGCATCAGTGGGACAAAATTAGAGGCATCAACAATTTGTTTTCAGTTAGCAAATCACTGAGTGACAGAGAACACACAAAGCTTTCATTCTTTTCTTGTTTTGGTGGCTGGCTGGTAAGGGGATCCGAACCCTTGACCTTGGTGTTATCAGCACTGCACTCTATCAAGTGAGCTAACCGGCCAGCCCTACGAAGATTTCATTCTTAATAGCCCCAGTGCAAGATGAAATTTTTCTCCTATCTTTGATGGCAACAGGATGTACTAGAACACAAGTCAGGAAGCCAGATGGCTGTGGGTTTGAATCCCAGTTCTGCATGAGCTGCACAATATTAGATTAGTCACTCAACTTCTCTGAACCCTCAATTCCTCATCCTTGGGATGGGGACAACAACAGAGTGGTAAAAAATCAGGGTGGTAGAGTGTTTAGCAATAAATATTAATTTCTTTCCTTAAGGAAAGGTGTCAACAATGCTTTGACTCCTTTGTGAATATGTGTACGAATGAATGTTAAAATTGCAACAGAAAACAGCCCATTTTATATATAGCAATGACACCTCTGGGAAGTTAGGCAGCCTATCTAGATCAGATCACCACGGGAAACTTCCAAGCTCGGGCACCAGTTGGTGGGAGGGAGGAAAGACTAAAATGTAACATGAGGGGAGGACCACTTCCAGCCCAATAAGGGAAGGAAGCAAAAGATCCCAAATCTTCTAGAGCACCACTGGCAGGAATGTTGTTATAAAGTTTCACATTTAAGAAAAAAAAAAAAAAGAAGAACATTTAAGTGACACTTGAAGGCCAAAGCTGATGCTGTGTTACCTTAGAGACATTGACTGAAACTCTGCTCAAGGCAGCCAGTGACTTCCAACTGAAAGGTCGGCGCAGTGAGCCTTCAAAATGGTCATCGACTAGCTCAATGATAACAGAATAACTGGAAACACAGAGAAAGCATTGCAAAAATAAACAGCATGCAATCAACCTGTTAAGAAGAATATTGTTTGTCCTACCAAGGACCAAGCTATAGAAAATAAAATTTACATCAACTGATCTTAAATTCCCATTGACTGCTATTGACAAAATATTAATGAAAAACTCATAGTTTAAGTTACCAACTTTCAGGCTCAAGTTACCAAATTTCAACACTGTCTTACAGGAAAGGAACACAAATACTTTTCCCAACATGAAAACTGTAAATTCACTCAATTGTTCAGATATTAATACTCACTGATATTAAGATTAACAATTACTAGATTAATTCAATGCTTAACACAAAAACACACATTATCATAACATGTATATATTTTGAAACATAATTGATTCTACATATTTGTGTGGTATAGTACTTATCAATACTTGTGTACAGTTATGTGATGTTCAAATCAGGATAATTAGCATATTCATTATAAAACATGATCATTCTTTGTGATCCTTAACCAATTTCTTGCTATGCTAACTCCCCTCCCCCTCCCCCAGTAACCACATATCTAACCTATATATTATTCTGTATGTAGCATAACAACGTTAGTGTGTAAGACAGGGACATGTGAAAATAGTACCTATCTCTATCAGGCCAGGAGAAAAGTGACTTTAATTGTTTCTAGAGCCCTGAAAATTAAATTGGAGGCCAGAAATTTCCTATGTCCCTTCAAGTCATTAATTTAGTTAAAAATCATTCCAAACCTTGCATGGTAAAATGGAGGGCCTTTCCGATACAGTACTGCAAAGAAAAAAAAAAAAAAGAAAGAAATGTATAACCACTCAAAACCAAAAGCTTACTTTATTACTTAATTTTTTTTTCCTCCAAAGGAAGGCAAACATCTAATTACCTGTACGCAGAAAACCTGCAATATCCTCTGTGGTCTATTTTTAAAATTCTAACTATTTTTTCCCCTGAAACAAAGTACAGTTAGTAAAGCAAATCTGTTGCCAAGACCCTGACACCCTCGTCCCACCCTCACCCCACAAATAAAGTCAAGTGAAGCGCAAGCCTTTCTTGTCTCGCCTCCTGTCCTACACTCTCTAGGGTAAGAGTGTGAAGTTCACGTGATGCAGGTTAATGTTTTTTTATTCATTTCAAATCAATGTAATTCAACGTGTCTGAGCAGCTACTCTGGCCAGGTACTGTGAAAGGTGTTAGTGCTAGATAGGAACAAGACTCATGCCTATTCTTAAGAAACGCAAAGCCAAGTGGAAAAAAAAAATAGTCATATAACCATACGTCATTTGGGTATCAGTCACCCTGCTGTTGGGTCCCTGAAGCAGGTATGGGTCAATTAAGTCTGTGGAGGTCAAGAAGAGTCACTCAGTGAAGGCTCAAGCTGGGGACTGCCACGTGGACTCTGGAATTTTGCAGGGAAAGACTGGCTAACTGTTTACCAAATCCACTTTTTCTGCCCCTGGACATGTGGCCAGATCTCATCTCTCAGTCTCCCAGGCAGACAGGTATGGCCATGTGTTGTGTGACTCTTCCAGGTTGGCCCATAAAATGCTCCCACGTACAAAGCCTGTCCTTCCTTTTTGAAGGTGACCTTGGAAGCCATGGGTTGAATACAATGAGACACAGGAAGAAGCCTGGGTTTCCGAAGCACAGTTTAGAGTTGATCTGCCCACCAGAGACACCCGTTTTGGATTTCACATGAACAAAAAATGAACTCTATTGTTAAGCCCCTGAGACTTGGGGTTTAAATGTAACTACAACTATGGGAATTACCATAACTAATGTACAATTACATCTGTAAGCTCTCAGCAGTCCCCTGGGCTAAAACTAATGCAGAAAAGTTCAAGGAAAAGTTTTGCTTCCCCTGAGGAATTGATATTTCCTTTTTGGGCACATCAATCCTGTAGCTAATCATGTTTCCCTTTGGCTCAGGAAGCTCAGAGCCAAATTTGTAGCAAGACTTTAGTAACCATACAGGACCCCCATGGACAACACAGTAACCCTTCACCTATCTTGTTTTGCTAGTCTATATTTTCCATTGTCACATTTCTTTTTTATTATTATATTTCCTATTTAAATTGTATTTAAAATATTTGGCAAGTCAAATTCATTGTGGCACACATTTAAGTAAATAACCAAACATATAATTCTCAACTTTCTGAGATGTGGTGTAGCAGAAGGAAACCACATACTGAACTGAGAATGAACTCAGGAGTTTTGTTTCCTGCCCAATCTCTGCCAGTTCGAGTTATATGAGTTTAGGTATGTTAACTTCTCTGAATCTCGGTTCCCAAAATTCTCAAATAAAGACACCAGAAGAAATTACAATCTTTTCTAGCCCTCAGATGCCATCACCTATGATCAAATACTCTAATATGTGACCAAATAATCGAATGTGCACCTGGAGCGTTAACACAGCTTTCAAGTCTGCAAATCACGTCTTTTCTGACGACTGTGATAGTGGTACAGCTTAGAAGTTAAAAGCAAGAACGCTGGCATGAGATAGACCCAAGTTCATGTCTTGACAGTGCCAAGACTATGTGACAACTCCCTGCACATCAATATCTGAATGAAAAATGGGGGTAATAATGAAGGCAGAAGTATTTGCGTAGTGTCTGGCTTATAGTAACCTCTCAAAGTCACCTGTAATAATAGTAATTATAATAATGACAGTGTACTCAGAGGGAAAAATTTAACTGTTTTATAAAAATCCCTCTCAAGTAGAAAGATGACAGCTTCAGAAGTCTGAGAAATAATGGCTACTTAAAAATCAGGTGTCGGGGCTGGCCCGTGGCTCACTCGGGAGTGTGCGGTGCTGATAACACCAAGGCCATGGGTTCGGATCCCATATAGGGATGGCCGGTTAGCTCACTGGGCGAGCATGGTGCTGACAACACCAAGTCAAGGGTTAAAATCCCCTTACCGGTCATCTTTATTAAAAAAAAAAAAAAATCAGGTGTGAAAGCATAGTGGGAATTAAAGGAAAGCACTCTCTTATAGATACATGCCAGAGAGAGATGTAGGAGGAACAACAGAATTAGAAAATGACAACTAGTGCAATAAGTAATTCAGGCAACCATTATAATTATTGGGAAACCAGCAAGTTACTTATTAATTACAAAAGGAAATATGTAAATTTATAACAGACATCTGACAGTGGCCACCTTAGCCAAATGATCACAGTATCACCAACAGTAGGACAACCTGACATCACGTACCTCCTGATGTGGCACAATAAGCACACACGTCACCTGTCCATACCAAAAAAACACTGGGCTTGAGTTTGATTATGAGGACAACAGTCAGACATATACAGAATGCGGAACATCCTATAAGAGTCTTCAAAAAAATTCAACGGCATGAAAAACAAAACAAGATAGAGGGACTATTTTAGATTAAAACAGACTAAAGAGAGTGCAGTGGGTTAAATGGTGGTCTCCAAAATTTCTGTCCATGTCCTAATCCCTGGAACCTGTGAATGTGACTTATTTGGAGAAAGGGTCTTTGCAGATGTAATCAAGTTAAGGATCCTGAGATGAGATCATCCTGGATTATCCAGGTGGGCCCTAAACCCAATGACAAATGTCCTTATAAGAGAAAAGCAGAGGGGAATTTGACATAGACAGAAGAGGAGGAGTCAACGTGACCATGGAGGCAGACTGCAGCGATGCAGCCAGGAGCCAAGGCAGGGCTGGGGCCACTGGAAGCTGGAAGAGGCAAGGAATGCATGCTCCTCTAAAGCCTTTGGAGGAAGCCCAGCCCTGCTGACACCTTGATTTCAGACTTCTGGCCTCTAGAACTGTGAGGGAATAAATTTCTTTTGCTATAAGCTGCCCAGTTTGTGATTTCTTAAGCAGCCCTAGGAAACCAAAAGGGAGATATAACAACCAAATGTGATAGATGAACCTTCACTGGAACCTGTATCAAAAAAATGAAAAGCAAAATAGCCACAAAAAATATTTTGGGGACAACTGGGAAAATTTAAGGTATGGATAATATTATTGAGTAATTCCAATTTTCCTTAGGTCTTATATTGTATAACTATGTAAGAGAATGCCTCTGTTTTTTGGAGCTACATGGAGAAATACTTATGGATTAATATGGATTGTGTACGTAAATATGGAAAATGTTAACAGAAGTATTTTAAATGTTTATCTAGAAAAATAAGCCAAGAGAGTGGTTGAGGACATAACCAAAGAGGGAGATGGGGAAGACAACACACCTCCTTTGTTCTGTGACGAGCATAGAGCTGCTCTGATGACCTCCTCCTACCTCCCCACCCTCCTACTGGGGACAGAACCAGCTGTCAGTTTCTGGGCTGGATGTTATGACAGATAATGAATGGTTCCTTTTGGCTCTGGAAATACTGTAACTCTGCTGGCTCCAAATGGTTCCTGTCATTGCACTTCTGTTCTGGCACTTGTAATTTGCAGGGAGCTGAGAAAGCACATGACCAAGTGTATTAGTCCGTTTTTGTTGCTTATAACAAAATACCTGAGACTGGATGATTTATAAAGAAAAACGAAATTTATTGCTTACAGTTTCTGAGGCTGGGAAGTCCAAAGTCCATTTGGTGGTGGTGACAGTGAACCAGAGGTCTCACATTGCAAGATGGTGGAAGTAGAGAGACAGAGATAGAGAGACAGACTGACTCTCCTTTTCTTTTAAAGCCCTCAGACCCTGACCACCATTTTTAATTCATTCACTATTGCATGGTCCTACAATCCAATCATCTCTTCAAGGCTCCACCTTTCAATTACCATAATAGGATTCCCCACTGTCTTAACAGTCACAGTGGGGACTAAGTTTCTAATATGTAAAACTTGGGGGACACAATTCAAGCTTCAGGGAGTTTTGTGGGGGACATAATTCAATCCACTACACCAAGCTTAGTCAATGCAAATCCAAACTTGGGGTGAGGTGGGGTGGGAAGGCGGTAACTAGACCTTTGGGTCAAACCAAATGAAATCAACTCATAACTGCATGTGTAAGACAACATCAGCCCTGAGCAGGTTTTTGGCATCTTGGCCAGCAGCATTAGTTAGGTGTTGTGGGAAGACAGAGCTGGGACCCAGACAGCCCTGACTACTGTACTTAGTAGCTGTCGAAGTCTAGGCAATTTACCTAACCCTTCTAAACCTCAAGTTCCTCCACTGCGAAAGGAGACCAATACTACAGGCCCCACAGGAGCGTGAAGATCAAACAAGGCAAGGTGGTTGGCTTGCCTCAAGGACAGCAGCCGGGGGGGGGTTGCATGGGGAACTTAAGGAAAGGCTCTCTCCTGGCTTCTGGTCTGTCTCTCACCAGTAGGCCACTGAGGTCAATTAAGTCAGTAGCTGCCCTTGATTTGAGACCCATATCCTTTGTTCCAGTATTGCTCCTGGAATGAAATCTGATTGACAAGATTTATTCAAGGAAAGAGTTTCCCTTATGTAAATTTCATAATGGCCCTTTATCATAAGTCATTACCTCTGAGGAAAAACAGTGAAGAGAGACTATTCTGGTTTTAACCTACATAGATCACTGATCTTCAAAATTAAAATATTGTTAAAAAACAGCAGGCACCGTGCAGCCAAGCCTGGAGAAGAGGGAGCGTTTAGGAAGCTGTTCCTCAGATCCCAGGCTCTCCTTGCCTGAGAACCCTTGCTATAAGGGAGAATGTGAAGACACCCTGAATGTTGCTACTGGGCAGTCTGAGGCCTGGTGTCAGAGGCCTGGTTCCACATTAATTATACAAGTGACTAGAAACAGATGATATGGCCCTGATGGGGCAAAGGACCCCAGGGAGTTGTGAAATAGGTGGTTTTTCTTTTCTTTTTCAAAAATCTATCCATCCCTCCATCCTGTCCACCTTTCCAACCATCCTTATAAGCAGTTTATTTTTAAATTAGGAAAGTTCTTTTTTGTCCCCCCCATATAAAGATGACTGGTAAGGGGATCTTAACTCTTGACTTGGTGTTGTTAGCACCACACTCTCCCAAGTGAGCCACGGGCCGGCCCTTAAATTAGGAAAGTTCTATCTATGCATTGCCCCCAAATGTGGCTTGACCATTGAAAATAAAAAGTTGCAGGGGAAAGGGGCCTTTGATGACTGCCTTCTAAGCATATATCATCAGCTGCATTTCTCACAACCGTTTTATAAAGAAGACATTGTTATTCAAGTTATATGATGAGCAAACAGAAGCTTAGAGAGATTAAGGAAAGTGTCTGAGGCAGCACAGGTAGTAAGAGGTAGAACTGGCTGGCAACCTAAGAACACTCTTTCCAGGGCGCCATGCCACCTCTTATTGCATTGCTGTAGCCTTACTGACTGGAAAATTTTACTCAAATTTCACCCACATAATGAGATAGTTGGGGAAGACCTGCCGAGCATTTACACTGAGTGGTTATACTTACAGGAGCATGAAAAGGGGAATAAGGGGGAAGCCAATGAAGAAAAACGAACAGGCATATCACTTATTTAAACAACGTGACCTGTAGCCTACACAGTTATCCTAAAACCTTGCAAACTAATCTCAAACTAATCTTGAGCATTCATGTGGTAACCCTGGGTTAGGATAACTGTACCTGAAATCCAGGCATGGAAGAAACAAAAGAAACCACTTATTCTAGAAGGATGGGCAACCCTTAACTTTTATTTTGGATTGATGTTCCCCTTCTAATGAAAGCTATAGACTCTTGACCCAGAAAAATGCACCAATCTACACACGCATTTTGAGAAGAATTTCAGGGAGTGCTGGGGCTGGCTGAAGATTATCCTATGATTCTAGATTAAGCACACCCTGCTTTAGAGCATTTAAAGATTTTACAGATTGAACTGACTTTCTTTGGGTATTTAAAAAGGCTCAAAAACATACAGACCTCAAGGAACATGACTTCCTGGAAGGCCTCTCAAATACCTTGAAATTTTTGTTTGAACATCACAAACAATTCTGAAAAGCATCCAGGAAGCACCCTCATTTGGCAGATGCAGAAAATGAGTTTCAGGGACTTAAAGGAATGACCCTAGTGCTGGAAGGGACATCAAAGGTCTATGCTCACTCACCCAGGCCGTTGGCTGTAAGTGCCACTTACATAATGACGACTCCCCAATGTATACCTCAAGGATCTCCTATGCTCTAGAATTATCTATCTACCTTCTCAATAGATCCACTGGACTTGTTTAGTATATCCAAACATCTAAGAGTTAGCCTTGATTCCTCTCTTACCCACAGACTACATATCCATTCTGTCAGTGGGATGGTCAGGCCCAGTGATGGAGTTTGGATGTGTTGTCCTCGCCAAAACTCATGTGGAAATTTGATCTCCAACGTGGCAGTGTTGGAAACTGATTGAGTCACGGGGGTGGATCCCCCATGAATGTATTAATGCTCTCCCTGGGGGAGGGGGTATTAATGAGTGAGTTCTCGCTCGATTAGTTCCCGCGAGAGCTCCTTGCTTAAAAAGACCCTGGCACCTTCTCTTTCTTGCTTCCTCTCACCATGTGATCTGCTTGTACCTGCCAGCTGCCTGCCACCTTCCACCATGAGTAGAAGCAGCATGAAGCCCACACCAGATGCAGCTGTCCCAGAATCGTAAGCCAAATAAATCTCTCTTCTTTATAAATTACCCAGTCTCAGGTAATTCTGTTATAGCAACACTAAATGGATTAAAACACCCAGCTTCCTTAATGATTCTCTCTGCTTCCATTTTTACCCACTTTGGTCATTAGAAAGACAGCAGATAGAGGATCCCATTAAATTAAGTCATTAAATTCAAGTCACTCCTCTGCTCAAAATCTCCCCAAGACTTCTGATCCCAAAACACGCAACGTCTTTGCTAGGCCCTCCATGATCCGGCCCCAACCTGACTCTCACCCCATCACTCTCCCCCAGGATCTCTAAGTTCTTGACACATCTGTCTTTATGCTGTTCCTGAAACTCTCCAAGTCTGTCCCACCTCAGGGCCCTGGTGCCTGCTGTTCGCTTTGCCTAATGTGTTCTTCCCCAGATCCTCATGTGAGCTACTCCCTCACTGTGGTCACGTGACCTATTCAGAGTCCCTACCTGACCACCCCACCTCCCTCACTCTCCATCCTTTTACTCCGTGTATTTTTCTTATAGTACTTATCAGTCCCTTACATTACATTACAGATGCTCCTCGACTTATGTAAGGCTTACATCCTGATAAACCCATCATTAAGTTGAAAATACTGTAAGTCAAAAACGCGTTTAGGGCCAGCCCGGTGGCGCACTGCTACAGTGCGCCGCTTGGGAGTGTGGTGGCGCTCCCGCCGAGGGTTCGGATCCCACATACAGACCGGTTCCCGCTCACTGGCTGAGCGAGGGGCGGGCGCAGCACCGAGGGTTGCGATCCCGTTGCCGGTCCCGGTCCGGTACGGGCGCGACACTGAGGGTTGCGATCCGTTGCCGGACACGAAAAAAGACAAAAAGGAAAAAAAAAATACTTTTTTCATATAAAAATTCCTAAATCCATTTTTACTGGTCTTTTGTATTTTTGTTATTATTGTTAAAGTTCTGAAATACACATTAAATATTGCTGATTGCAGTCACCAGACATAGCAAACTGGACAGTGACAAAAAGAGAAAAAAATACTCATAATTACCTGATATTTCTTAATAAGTGTTTCTGAAGTAATTTATTTCTTGGAGTTCTTTTTAAAAGCAATCTGTAATAACTGTTAGTATAATTTGTATTTAAGTGCAGTAGAGAACATTGGTGTGTCATAATTGCCTTAAATCTTTTAGCTTTACCCAGATATATTTTGAATATTTTCTGTACAAAATATACACTGTCTTTATTCCAAGCAGGTACATATATATTCTGTATAAAACAGCATGGTTAAATTGTAAATATACTTAACCATAGTTTTTAACGCGTTTAATACACCTAACCTACTGAACACCATAGCTTAGCCCGGCCTACCACAAACGTGTTCAGATGCTCGTATTAGCCTACAGTTGGGCAGAATCATCTAACACAAAGCATATTTTATAATGAAGTGCTCACTATCTCATGTAATTTATTGACTACTGCACTGAAGGTGAAGAAGAGAATGGCTGTGTGGGTACTCACAGCACAGTGTCCACTGAACACGTGTCACTTTTGCACCATCGGAAGTCGGGGGCCGTCTGTGCATATTTGTTTGCTTGCTTGTCTCTCCTTCCCCCTCCCCCAGATGTAAGCTCCACAAAGGCAGCTTTGGGTTTGTCTTGTTCACCTCTGTATTCCTGACACCTAAAACAGTACCTGGCCCACAGCAGACCCTCAGTAATTATCTGCTGAATGAAGAACTCACCTGGTCCAGATCAGGGGAGGCAGCAGTGTGTAGAAGTTTCTAAGAGCATGGGCTCTAGAATTTAAAGCCCAACTCTGCAAGTTACTGTCCCCGGAAACTATTATGGCAAACGACCTATTCTCTCAAAACTGCAGTCCCCATATCAGAAAAATGAGGATGATAAGAGTATCACATAGGATTGATGTGAGCATTAAATGAGAGTGAATGTAAAACACTTAGTACAACGCCTGGTACATAGTAAACACTCAATAAATGACAGTTGTCATTATTATTACAATTATATGATTATTCACACTTGGCAGATGAGGAAAGTCAGGCCCACATGACAAAGGACTGCCCTCAATCACACAACTCATGGCTGAGAGGTGCAGGTGGGTGCTGTAGGACTCTCTTCTAAGATTACAAACAAGAGGGAAAGTCCAAATTGGGGCTGCAAGCTTCTACTCCTAGGCTTTTCCCCTATATTCCTTCTCTCTTTCTGGACTTACTTTCTACCCCAATCCAAACATACAATATTTTCATCTAAGCCAGGCGGGGACACCTTCTTAGAAAAGCACATATAAGCAATTTGATTTTCTAGGGTGAATCTGATACAAAAACCTGTTTCTAGGATCTGCTGCAATCCCTGTTCTCATGGCAACCACGTGAAGAATTACTTACATAAATCTGTTCCGTACTTGAGTCCCACTTTGGGCACCCAGCCCTTGCTTCGGAAGTAATGGTAGGCCATGTAGGTGGTCCTGAATGTGGGCTGAATGACAGTGAAAGAGTTCCAGAGTTTAACGATTGTTAAAGGCTCCTACAGTTGGGGGAAAAAAAAGGCATTATTATATATGCATTCACTCATCATTCGGCTGGTGAATCGACATCTATACTAAGTGTGGAGCTGAAGTGGCAATAGGATCCCAACAGTGGGATTTAGCCAGAAGATCTGCACCTGCACTGTCCAATGGGCAGCCACCAGCCTTGAAACGCTCTAAGAGCAAAATACACACTGAATTCCAACTTAGTATTAAAAAAAAAAAAAAAAGAATGTAAACTATCTTAATAGGTTCGATATGTTGGGTTAAATAAACTACGTGATATATTATTAAAATTAATTTCACTTGCCTTTTTTTTTTAAACCTTTTTAATGTGGCTCCCAGAAAACCTAAAATTATACATGTGGCTCCCGTCTGAAGCTCCTATCACATTTCTGTTGCATAGCACTGTTTTAGAGGACTCAGAAAAGGCAGCATTTGAGAAGTAGCCCAGAGCAAGGGGCTGTGGGGTACTGGAGGAGGAGGTGGTGAGGGGGGCTGGGGAAGACATTCCAGGCAGAGGAGCTGGAGCACATGGGGCATTCAGGTGTAACAAGCTACCAAAGCTGGAGGGCAGCATGTCCCAACATTTCACACACCCTCAACAAGGAGCCACTGTATGTCAGGCCACATTATGAAAAGACAAAAATAACTTTGTAAGTAAAAGTTTCAAAGAAAAAGAAAAGATGCTCCATTTAGTCTTTGAAAGTAGAGAATTTATGTGACGGCACATAACAAACTAATAATCCAACTGCCTAAAAAAGAATTTTGTTTCTAATGTGGGAGCTAAAGAGAATGAGAATGGCTTGGTTCACAAAATATTCTGAGGTATCAATATAAAAAAAAACAGCAACAACAGAATAACTAGGTAAGTTTGGAATATTTTTTGCTTCATTTCAGTGTTTAGTAAAATGATCAATTCAGTTGGTTTAGGGCTCAAGCATTCAGTGAGGTTTGCTAGGTTTGGCTCAGTCTGAGATTTTAACATCATAAAGGAACTAGATTTAGTTTTTGTTAGTCCTTTTCTTTTTTTCTTCCGGCTGTCACTAATGTGAAAATTCCATGTGTGCGACCTTCTTTAAATCCCACTGCAGTAAACACTCAACCCTCCTCTGACAAGCAACATCTCGTAGAGAAGGCTGCATTTCTAACAGGGACAGCCCAACATTTTTCAGATGTTGAGGATTCTATAGAGCAGCTAGAATGTTCTGAAAAATTTCAGCTAAGGCCTGTGAGTGGAGGCAGGGTGGGACTGAGAATGGCTACTATCTGGCAAAATGAGTCACCTGTTTGGCAGACACCAGCTTCCAAACAAGACTGATGCAATTAGAACTTGGTGAATAATAAAATTATGTACTCCTAAGAGCCAAACAAAATACACTTTCTCTGTTCTATTCGCGGTTCTGCTTACCTTTCTCTAATTTTATTCGAATTATTTTCAATAGGTATTATACTAACATGGTTCGGCATTCAAGAAGTTCAAAAGGTGTCCTGTGGAAAGTGTCACCCCCCATGTCCCAAGCAACAGCGCCACCTCCAGTGTGACTACCTTGTGTGGCTACCTTTGTGTGACTACCTTTCTACTAAAGGCAGTAGGCTACAGCATAAAATCACAGGCTTTGGAGTTACCTGGACAAAGTTTCAAACACTAATTCTAACTAGACTAGCCATGTGTCCTGGGGTGAGTTACTTATTTTTTTCTGAGCCTCAGTTACCTTATCTGTAAAATCCTTACCAGCTGGAGGTAAGAGTTAGAAACATTGCATGTAAAGTGCCTAACGCACAGCCTTCACCATAGCAGGTGCTAAATATTGGTGGCTTTTATTTTTGCTGTTAGTTTTTAGTACCATTCTGACACAGATTTCCTGATCATTATGTAAGATATTGCACTTCTCCTAACCTCTTAGAATGCAGTTCAATACGAAAGGGTCAAAGCTGGCTTTTGCCTGAACAGTCCCAACTCAGGACCCTAATCCAAAACTTAGAGAAAAAAAATTCAATTTCTATTTTATTCAGTAGTAGATAGGTTTGTGTTAAAGTAATATGGAAATCAGTACAACCTGCTTTTAACATCAGGGAAATTTTAAGTGGATGGTGTCTAAACAAAACATCTTACCTTCTCGTAATAAATACTCAGACATCCTAGAGCATAGACCAGGAAGAAGGCCTAAAAACAGACCAAGCAGAAAGTGTTCATTAGAAATAGTTCCACGTTCTTGAAAAACTATTTTACAGATTGATTTCTCTTCACCTCCAACACAAATTAATGTTCTTAAATCATCATCAAAATGGTCATTGTTTCCCCTGACAGATGTACAGTATTTTGAAGTCACATATTTAACATAAATGGTTCAAATTTCAAAAATTAGAAAAAAATACAAGAAAATATGAATGTTACAAACTGGTTTAAATCAGTAAAAAATAAAACATTTGTATACATTTTTCCATTTTTTCCCCTAAAAAACTACATAACTGAAGAACAATGTTAATAGCTATAACAACATTAGAAACCTTTACACATTGGATTTTCACCTGTACAATTAAATAACCATATTAAACTGAGAAAAATATACATAGACAAAAATCGTGAAAAGCGTGAGGCAGTGCAGGTTTTGCCTCCATAACAGAATATGAGTTTTTCAGTCATCCTCGCTCTAAAGTGATTTTCTATTATGTAAACTCGATGTCTCCATTAGCTGCGTTATATAAAAGCACATTTTACAAAAAGCACATTATGAGAGAGCTTGCAAGAATGGCAAAGAGGGCCGGCCCGGTGGCGCACTGGAGAGAGTGCCGCTTGAGAGTGTGGCGGCGCTCCCGCCGAGGGTTCGGATCCCACGTGGAGACCGGTTCCCGCTCACTGGCTGAGCGCGGTGCAGGCGCAACACCGAGGGTTGCGATCCCATTGCTGGTCAGTAAAAAAGACAAAAAGGGAAAAAAAAAAAAAAAAGAATGGCAAAGAAAGTTGGCCCCAGTTGCATAAAATCATACTAAAATAGAAATTAAAATAGCTTTCTGCTAAAAAATATGCAGCCAAACACAGATAGCACCCAAATAGCCATGTGGTGCTGGCTTTACCTGTCTAGGGTGATTAGAATCTACAATACAGCTGAACACACTCCCCCGAGACTGGTGAGTAGCAGGGAACAACTAAGTAGTAGCTGGTAGTAAAATTGGGTTACTTTTTAAATAGAAGGATAAAAGATTAGATTTGTAACCAAACTGCAAATATTTTGCCTCTTCTCCCACTGCTGCTGCCACGAGGCACAGACCAGGAGGGGTCCGCTTGTGCAGTACGGCAACAACAACCAAGTGCTCTCCCCCGCGCGAGCCCTCCTGTGTCTGGGCAGCAGGGAAGCACTGACAAAACAGACTCACGCAGCTTGTTCTGTCACTGAGCACCCCCAGCCTCAGCACATACACACACAGGAACAGAAGGCAAGAGGACTTCAGAGAGCACAAGTGGCTAACACCTTAGGAATCCCTCAGGAATTGTCCAAATCCACCCAAAGTCGTTCTCTGCCTGGATATCTGAAGACATTTCTCTCTAGAGCTGCAGTTCTCAAAGGGTGGTCTGGGGATCCTGGGGTTCCCAAGGCCCTTTCAGGAGGTCTCAAGGTCAAAATGATTTCATAATAATATGAAATATGGTGTTCTCTGCCTGGTTCGTGCTCATGCTCCTCAGCAGATGCAAGATGTGTGACGGCTCCACAGACTGAAGCTGGAAGCAGATGTGAGACTCCCGCTGACTCCTAGGAAGCCAGACCTTAAAGTGATGCGCAAAAATGAAAAACAATGCCATTCTTCTCAATGAATTTTGTTTTAGAAAATATAGTTATTTTGGGGGCCGGCCCATGGCTCACTTGGGAGAGTGTGGTGCTGATAACACCAAGGCCACGGATTCGGATCCTATGTAGGGATGGCCGATTCGCTCACTGGGTGAGCGTGGTGCTGACAACACCAAGTCAAGGGTTAAGATCCCCTACCGGTAATGGGACCGCAACCCTCGGTGTTGCTCCTGCACCTCGCTCAGCCAGTGAGCGGGAACCGGTCTGTATGTGGGATCCGAACCCTAGGCGGGAGCACCGCCGCGCTTCCCAAGCGGCGCACTGTAGCAGTGCGCCACCAGCCCGGCCCCTACCAGTCATCTTTAAAAAAAAAAAAAAAAAAAGTTCCTCAATAATTTGTGAGTAAGTGGCTTGATGAAGCACTACTTAGTTTTACCCAAATCCAAATCTAGAGCTTCTCTGGAGATGAAGGTGGTCACCTGCCATGCCACTTCTCCCGGTAGCCATCCTGATCCCAGCCTGTGGCTTCTTCCCTGCCCTCTGTGACGGCCTCCTTGTTCTCAGCCCTCTAGAGTCTGTTCTCCACAGTGGCCAGTCATCTTCTTAGCACATGATGATCATGTCACTCTCCTGGTTGAAACCTCCAAACTGCACTTAGAATAAGTTGAAACTGCACTTAGAATAAAGTCCAAATTGTTTGCCACGGGCTCCATGTCCCCGCTTGGTCTGACCACCACTCTTTCTAGCCGTCTTGGCTCAGTTCTGTCTCCTGAACACACTAAGCTCATTCCTGCTCTTTCCACTACCTGGCATGTTCTGCCCCAGACTCAAAGGTCACTTCTCAGAGAGTTCTTCCTGGATCGCCCCATCTAAGTAACTCCCATCCTGACATCTTCTTCTTCAGTCATTTTTGCCTGAAAATATCTTTCTTACTTACATATGTTTCTCCAACTAGAAAGTAAACTCAGGAAGAGCAGAAACTCTGCACGCTGTTCCCTTTGGCCTAGCACGTAGTTGGTGCTCAATGCCTGCAGTAAAAGAACCAAACACACAGGTCCCAGACCCTGTCCATGACTTAGGCCCAAACAGCCACAGCCACCATACAGTAGGTCTCTGCACCTGACGCAGCTCCCTTCTCCTCAGTGCAGACACTTACATCCTACTTCTCTCAGCTACCACTGCCAGCCCCGCCAGGCACCCTACAATCTTATTTTAATACAGAATATGCTGCTTTTCAGATAGACTAGATGGTGGCCAAGAGGTGCAGTGGAAAAGACAAAGCTGTTTCCTCAAACGGCCGTGTCCCTTTCATTTTGTCACAATCTGCCCTTCTTGGTGCAGAATAGTGTAACATGCACAACGGAGTGTGAGATCTGACAGACCTGACTCACATCTGCATTAGCCGCTAGGGCCTTGCAAGTATCATTTAAATTCTCCATGCCTCGAGTATAAAACAGGGATGATAATACCTTCTTAACTAAAGATTTAATGAGACTAAATCTTGTAAACATTTGGTAAGCCATGCAAAAGCGCCTAAATTCTCAATTAATTTCAGTTTCCTTCCCTTTCTAATAACTGTTTAGACAGAATAGCCTTGAAGAATTCAATCTAATCCTTGCCAATCCAGATTCCTTCCTGGTATCTGTTAGAAAATAGGTTGTTCAGAAATTGATGAATGTCTTTTCACTTTTCATCAGCAGCAAACATACATTTCCTAAGAGCAAATGAAACCAAAGCCTCTTTTTTTTTTTTTTTTTTTTTTTTTTTTTTTTTTTTTTTTGACTGAAATGGTGACGGCATTCATGAATCTGCAAATTGCTGTTAGGTACTCACTACAGATGGAGAGGATCTTAGTTTAATTGTGTTGGTTTTATTTAAAATTAAATCACTGGTAGACTGGGAGGTCTGCAGAGGTTGGTGAGATCTCATTAGTAAACTTCTACTTTTTTAGTACTAATAAGAGGAGGGATGAGTTTAGTGATTGTCGTCTTTAACATCATATTGCTAAATCTAGTTAGGGCTCACAAGCATCATAATGGAAAAACAGATCTCTTGGGCCGGCCCGGTGGCGCACTGCTACAGTGCGCCGCTTGGGAGCGCAGCGGCGCTCCCGCCGAGGGTTCGGATCCCACATACAGACCGGTTCCCGCTCACTGGCTGAGCGAGGTACGGGCGCAGCACCGAGGGTTGCGATCCCATTGCCGGTCCCGGTCTGGTACAGGCGCGACACTGAGGGTTGCGATCCATTGCCGGACACGAAAAAAGACAAAAAAAAAAAAAGAAAAACAGATCTCAATGATCTCTAAGAAGCAATGAAGCAAATTAGCTCATAGGCATGAGTTAATTATCCCTGAAATGAATACCCACACAGAGTGGACATTAAATCATCACCATGTCCAGGTAACAAAGGGTAAAGGCTTAAATGTCATTGGCTAAAGGCAGGGTCAAGGAAGATGTCAGATATGGGAGATGTCAGATGGGGAAGTGCCAGATGAGGGAGATGTCATCTGACATGCCTGGATTATAGCTCTCGGTGCCCAATCAGGGAAAAAGCACATTTCACTTATGTGACCCAGTCATTATTTAGGTACAAGATCTATTTTATGATCATTATCAATAATTTAGAGACTGAGTACATATGTGCTACCAGGGAGGGAATAAAGGTGGGAACTGACTGAGCCCCTGTTACATGTGCCAGGACCTGTGCTGGATGTTATATTAGACACATTATTGTTTGTGTCAAAGTAATTGTGATGTCCAATACTAGACTGTGAACTTGAGTAGAACTGTTATACCCATTTAAGCACAAAGGAAGCATGATTTCCAAAAAGTGTTTTTTGGTGAATGTTAGCCCTCCCTCAGCATAATCACATCTTTCTCCAAACTACCATGAACCATTCAAATTCCATTGAAGCGCATTTTAAAGTTATAGAAAATATGTTCATTTGAAAACATCTGCCATTCTGTTTTAAGACAGTAGACAGAATCACAGACTGAACTAAAGCTATGTCTTTGTTCTACCCAGGCAGGTCAGCAACCTTATAAGGGATGGGGACACGATGAGGGACATACATTAAGTGCCTCCCAGGAAAGGAGGTACCTTACATCTATCACATCTTATTTGATCTTCACTATAATCCTCTGGAATGCTCTCAGGCACCAACCTGCTTCCAAGAACGCACAGTAGCCTCACGCCCTATCTCCTATCACTCTTGCCTTTCTTCAGGGAGTGTTCAGGAGGAGGCTGCAGACAGCACCAGCCATTCTTGTAAATAAAAAGCACCAACTGGTCAACTGGAACGGTGAGGCCGAACCCGCAGTTTCTGCTACTTCCCAGAGCCGAGAGGCTGGCAGGCTCCTCACAGCTCAGGTCTCCAGCCCACCCTCCATACTGATGCCACCTCTAGTCACTGCTACTCCCCTATGAAACCCTCTGCAGTGCTTTGCTGCCACCAGGACCAGGCCAGATCCCTACTCATACACACTCAGTCCTCCACGATCTGGCCTCATCATGCTGCCACTTTCACGGCAGAGCCACCTGAAAGAGCCCACGCCACCCCCCATGCCCATTTGGTAACCCCCTATTTACGCTTTAACATCCTCAGGTATCACGACTCCGTAAAGTCTTTCCAGTTCAGCTCAAGATCCTTATGGTCTCCACCAGCTTCTGTGCAAATTCCCTATCTTGCACATTCATTCATTTAACAAACAATTAGTTAGCACCTAACAGGTGTCAAGCACTGGGTCCGAGGACACAGGAGGAGTGATATTGACATGATCCATACACCACACTGTACTTATCACACGGAACTGTAATTATTTCTAGGCTATCTTTAGGACTGGAGCTGTATTTTATTTATTTCTGTATTGTTAGTACTTAGCCCAGTGGCTGACACATAGTAAGTACTCAGCAATTGTAAAAGAGAGAGTCCAACTAGCTACTAAATAGCTTTTACAAGTAACTTAATAAAGATAATGACAAAAATGGCAGTCAATACATCCTACGAAACAAAGTGTTAACTAGCCCCCACTTTACAGAGAAGGGACCTGAGGCTCAGAGAGGACAAACACCTAGAGAATGTGCATCCATGGCGCTGTCCCGTACTCATACAGTAGCCGCTGGGCACATGTGGTTGTTCAGTGTTTGAAAGGTGGCTGGTACAACTGAGAAACAGACTTCTGAATTTTATTTAATTTTAATTAGTTTAAATTAAGCAGTCACATATGGCTAGTAGCTACTGTATTTCATGGTAGACTAAGTAGTCTCATTTGCAAAATGAACAGATGAAATAAATAATTCCAAACATCCCTTCCTGTTCTGAAAGTCTGTGTTGTTTTTCCTTTCTTTCCTTTTTCCTCTCCAGCACTATGTCATAATGAAAATTTGTGTTTTGGCCTCTCTGCAAGGAAGGAAGCACAGACCAGGCGACACAGGAAATGAGGAGTCACAACTACTTTTCTGGTGACACAGCTATGAAATCACCAACGTGGATTATTCAACAAGCACTTTCTAAGAGCTACATATATGCCAGGAACTGTGTTAGATACTGCAAGAGCTATCAAAGAAAGCTGCCACAGAGCTCCTAGAGGAGTACCAGGCGACACAGGAAATGAGGAGTCACAACTACTTTTCTGGTGACACAGCTATGAAATCACCAACGTGGATATATTCAACAAGCACTTTCTAAGAGCTACATATATGCCAGGAACTGTGTTAGATACTGCAAGAGCTATCAAAGAAAGCTGCCACAGAGCTCCTAGAGGAGTACCCAAGAAGGGGTGCTATCTTCAAAGTCAGAAAGAACATTTCTGAGAGCAGTAAAAACATAAGCAAAAGGCGAACAACTAAACATAGTGTCACCACAAGTTAGAGGAACTCCAGATCAGAGGTACAGTGTGATGTGGTTTATGGAAGGCCTCTATTAGCCAACTTTTAAGAATGCAGCTATTGCATTAAGTAAAAGGAACACATATTCTTAGTAATTCTGCAGAAGAAAATGTGTGTGTATATATACATATTTTAAATTTTATAAAGTTTATTGGGGACCAAATAGGATCAGCCTGCAAAACATCCAGAGTCAGAGAAATGCTCTTGAAACTCCATGAATATATTAAAACACTGTGAGAGGAACACTTTAAATGGATGAATTGTATGGTATGTGAATTATATCTCAATAAAGCTGTATTCTTTAAAAAGCTGGAAAGAATTAGTAACATAATATTCAGCTAATGTGAAATCTTAATGTGAAAAGAGTGCTCAGACAAACCCCTTGCATCCACTGTGGAACGACATAGGGAAATCTGCCCAAAACGCACATCTTAGAACTGATGAAGTAGAGGTTGAGGAGTGAAATTTAGGAGGCCTACTTTGAAAGCTGCCTGTGGTGACTTCAATACTGAATTACAATACTGTTGCTGAATAATTACTGAATTATAGGACTGCACTGTGAGGTAAGCTCATCTTTATGGTTTTGTCCAGCCCCAAAGACCAATACCCAAAATGGTAACATGATGAAAACACACCTCTTCTAGGGTGAGTTGCAAATACTCAGAGATCCTGTATGGATTTCTTCTGCATATCAATCTCTTTCTTTGCACCGACTGAAGAGAAAGAAAGAAAACATATACAGATCAAATGGCAGCACTACATGTCATAGAGAAAAGATTGCATTTTTTTTTCCTTTTTGTCTTTTTTTGTGACTGGTAACAGGATCACAACCCTCAGTGTTGCGCCCGTACCGCGACCGGCAACGGGATCGCAACCCTCGGTGTCGCGCCCACACCGCGCTCAACCAGTGAGCGGAGCAGACCGGTCTCTATATGGGATCCGAACCCTCGGCGGGAGCACCGCTGTACTCCCAAGCGCCGCACTCTACCGAGTGCGCCACCGGGCCGGCCCGAAAAGATTGCATTTTAAGAGAACTTTTTTTTTTTATAAATTCCTGAGATTCATATGCTGTTGGCCTCATACTATAAACAAAAACAAAAACAAAAACAATTTTTATTACTTATGTGGAAAAAGATTAATTTTTCTATTAACATTTTATTTCCTTTCTTTACCCATGAATTTTCCCTGCAGTTGTGAATTTTTCCTGCATTTTGTTGAATTTTGTGTTGCTTTTTTTCACCCAACTGTGCCTCATAGCATGTGCCTATGTTGTTAATAAGACTTCATATACCTCGTTCTAGAGCTACCCAATATTTCTTCAATTGGGTGTTGCTAGTTTTAAGTGATCACACATAACTCTAGTGTAACAATCTCTGACAGCATGTGCCTTTACTGAAGTGGCTCGCAGTCTGCTTCCCAATGCTTCTCTCTCGGTGACTTCTATGTGTGAGCCCCCCTCCCAGGGCTGTACTACAGATCATACATAATTACCACTGCATTTCTTTTTCTCCCAAATAAGGGAGAGAATATTATGGGTACTGCTTTAAAGTATACGTTTTTAAAAAGTTAAAGTTATTCACAAACTGAGGTTTTTGCGGAACAGCCCTCATTGCTGCCATGTCATCCAGCACCTGCCAGTTCCCTGGGACGCCTCGCACATGCTGGGGGCTCACACCAGGCCTGAGACCAGCCCGAGTAAAGGCCATCCTGGTTAGCTAACATCTCCTACAGGCAGCAGCAGATGGCTCTGGAGGAAGCAGTTGGTTTTCTACTCACTTGCTCACTCGGGATGTCCTCCCTCTTGTTCCCATCACACACCGCCTCTTCTTCCTCCACGAGCACATACTCATGGTCGGGCCCTCTCTCTCCAGCACACATGAGACCTGCTCCCTGGCTGCCCTCCTCAGGCTGGGCGCCACACTCAGGCATGAGAGTGTCATGTCTGGAGCAGTGGACTTGGGGGAGAGGTGCAGCATCCTCTACCATGTGTTCGTCAAAGCTGTTTGTAGTTAGTGGGTGGTGCCCAGTGGCCCCCTGAAGACAGAGTGATCGCGCATTGCGATCCTCCACATTGCCTGACTTTCCTGAGTCTCCATTCATCACAGGAAGTTTCTCTCTCCCCATTGTGTCTTCCATGTTGGAAACCACTTCAGAGTTAAGCTCATGATGCAAGTGAGCCTCTTCATTCCTTTTTATACAAGGATGCGCAAGTGGCTTTGTGTAATCTTTGAGGATTCTCTGCACTGTGCTCTCGTCCTGCCCCTGTCTACGCAGGAGCTCTGTGGCCCATTCTACACTACGCTGATACCTGCAAGATAGAAATATGGTTAGGAACGACACCCAAATCCCAAAACTGAAATGACAACAAAGCACATAAAAAAGACCGGAAGGTGGTACGCCAAAATGTTTCCAGTAGTTTTACTGAATGGTGAATTATAAGGTAAAGACTTTCTTCTTTATACTTTTCTGCATTTTCTAAGTGTTTTGCAACAAGCATATCTTACATTTGCTTCTTTGATTTTAATAATAGAGCTTCATTTTATTTGCTTGATTTGAAAAAAAAATCTCTTATTCCACAAAATGTGAAAATTTATGTAATCTAAAACTGGTGGACCAAGTGTTTTAGGCAGACAGAGAAAATGGCCATCCTTTATCAGGAATCATTTTATTTTTTTGGCAGCTGGCTGGTAAGGGTAGCCGTAGCCGAATTCATGATCTCGATGTTATCCACACCGTGCTCTCCCAAATGAGCTAACCAGCCAGCCCCAGGAATCATTTTTTATTACTTTCAATTTTGGATATCATGTTTTCAGATATTCCATTTATAATATAAAAGCCTTTGTTTAGAATTGGAAAGCAAAATGAGAATTTCAATAAATATTTTTTGTGTACCTAATAACCTCTTCACTGGCTATGGAAAGAAAAGTATTCTAATAGAAATGACCTTTTTTCTCATGGTAATTTTCACAGATATTTTAATGAGAAAAAACATACTAAGTTTCTAAAACTTGATGGCAATACCTGTAACACTTCCCAAGTTACAAAAAAATATAGGTAAGACAACAACAGGGCTCTGCCCTTGTGAAGAAGTGTCCACTGCTGGGATGGTTTGTGTGACATAAGAAAGACCACATGTTGGAAATCTGAAGATCAGGAGGTTACAGACATTGTAAACCTCAAGTATGTTTTGTCTCTACCTACAGCAATTAATCCGAAAAGCATCTGAGACAACATGTGGCTTATGAGAAGGCAGACATAATTTTACTTTTCACCTTATTTTACCTGTGTACAGATGACTGAATATGCCATAGTTTACAAACAGCTACATTTCACACAATTAAACAAGGAAATTGGCTTCTGCTGTCCTTTAAAAAAAAGAGGTTCTTGGCTGCCTAACCCTGATTCATAAGAATCCCCAAGCTGTCCACACCTATCTATCCTATATGGGGATGAGCTTCCGTCTGGGCCTAATGGGGAATTTTACCTTGGATTTAAAGATTAAAACCTGGTGAGGCCATGCTAACACCTAAGAGGCTGTATGATGCAGGACTTTGGTACTGCATGTTTTGTGCTCAGCCCTGACTCTATCACTTGTAACTGTGTGACAATGCAAATCACTTACTTTCTCTGTGCTCGGTTTCCCTGCCCATAAAATGGGGTAATAGTAATACCACCTCAAAGAGCTCTTGTTATGTATTACTTTTATAAACAGAAAAACCAAAGCTGTCCCCAAAACAGCAGGGTGTCTCCTCACCTGTGACATGGACACTCATGCATACACTTCAAAGAATTTTCATTTGCATTTTCACATAAACAAATCACTGAGTCTATAGGCTTCATGGGTCTATGAATCTCCTTTATTTGAACACAAATTTTTGTGTCAATGTATATTTTTCTGGGGAAGGGATCCACAACTTTAATCAAATTCCTTGACTCAAAAAACGTGGAGGAACCACTGAATTAAAGGCAACAGTTCCTCCTTTGAGCGGGAGATCTGGAACTGAGAGTGAGCACATCCTGGGCACTGTGCTGCTCTTTGCAGTAGAGTGGTCAAGGCAGGTGTGAGTCAGATCTTTGCTCCATCATGTTCTTGTACTAGCTATGTAACCCTACCTCTCTAAGGCTCAGTGCCTCATCCTTAAACCAGGGCTAACTGGACTGATTTCATGGGGTTGCAGAGGATTAAATGAGATAAGACATGTATGTGCTTATTAGCACATAGAAGTACTCAATATTTTCTACTATATTGTTGTGGGGTTTTTAGGGGTAACCTCAAAAACAAATCAGTTTGACTCAATATGTATTGCATTAAAAAATACAAATAATATTTTAATGAATGGAAATGTACATCTTAATTAAGTGCTCTTTGAGAACAGAGGCAGCAATGTGGGGACGAGTGCTTCAGAAGGAGGTCCAGGTCCAGGAGCTGGCTCTTCTGTTTGATCCTGAGCTAAGCCACTTAGCATCTCTACCTCTGCTCTTCTGCCAAATGCGAGAACCATGCCTGCATTCCATTTCATCGTGATCTTGGAGGATCATCATGAAAGCTCAAATGAAACAGTGGGGGCAAGCGCATGCAGAAGACAGCCTCTGAGAAGGACTGGTGATGAAAGAGCCACACACACAGATGACTAAGACACATGGCACTGGGTCACAGAGCAGAAGGTGCCCTCTTGTTCGCTGGCAATGCCTCAAAAATCCAAGTCCTGTTGCCGTCAACCCCAAACACAGCTGGAGAAGCAGCAGGAAGAGAAAAGTGAAAAAAGTAAAAGGCAGAAAACATAAGGCAGAGAGCAGCAGGAGGAGGTGGCAGGTGTGATAAGAAGCAGGCTGGCCTGGTGAGCAGCAGACACATGCACTTCCCTGCTTTCTTACTGATTAATGCTCATTCATCACTGGAAGTTCACAGCAAAATGGTTTAGAGCATAGGTTCTGGAGTCACACTGCTTATGGCTTAGAGCATAGGTTCTGGAGCCAGACTGCCTAATGGCTTAGAGCATAGGTTCTGGAGCCAGACTGCCTAATGGCTTAGAGCATAGGTTCTGGAGCCAGACTGCCTAATGGCTTAGAGCATAGGTTCTGGAGCCAGACTGCTTAGTTGTCCAAATACTGACCTTGAGCAAGTGACTTAATCTCCCCGTGGTTCAGTTTCTTCACATGTCAAAGATGGATGGTAATAGGACCTACTTCCCAGGGATGAAGTGAGGACTTAAGGAGACAACACATAACCCTGTCCTTGGCACAGTAACTAGCACATGGAATACACTCAAGAAGTGCCAGTATGTGCAACTACTTTGCTGTTCTCACTATGTGTCAACACCTCTCAGGCTCAGAGCTGAGCCCACGTGAGCTTGAGCAAGCTGTTTACCGCTGTCTGAATTCTCCATTAATGAAATGGAAACAACTACACTACCTACCCTCAAAGGTTTCTTGAGAAGATGAAATAATACAGGTAAGGCACACAGACTGAGAACTGGCACTGTTGTAGCCGTCAGCCCCTGATGGCTCTGGTGAAGATGATGCCTTCTCTATCATAACACTTACTACAGAAGAGGGCAGGTGTTTGCTTCTCTCTCTCCCACTACACTGCAAATCCCTCATGAATCCTCAGCACATACCCAATGCCTGTCACACAGGCAGCCCTCAGTAAATGTGGGCTGGATGTTGGATCACAATGAGGAGGAGGGGACCAGGCTGGTCCTTCAGGGACACATCCCTACATATGGCACTCCCCCAAATGCATCACCCAAGGGTCCTGATGCTCACCTCCAGAAAGGGTTACACCAAAGGGTCTCATCACCCAGGGACAACTATCATTGGAAAAAGGCCAATTAGAGCGAATCCACTTGCAACAGGGATCAGAATTTCAGACTCATCAGTAAATAAACAATTATGATAAGTACGTAAGTTGGAAAATTAACCTAAAAATAGGTTAACCTAAAAAATAGGATAATGAATCAATTTTTTCTTACATTTAACAAAATTTAGATTGTGATTAAGTGTTATGAATAATGAATAAGGTATTGATATTGGGGAGGGGACATCATTTTCTGATAGAATTATACTGATAACATTTCTTGACATCCTTAAGTTCAGACAGTGAAACAAGTTGTTATAACCTGAAAATTTCTTATGAAAAATTAATCCCTACATAAGCATACCACCTTCAAGCTACACTCCTACACTGCCACTAAGTGTCAAGTCTATGACACCGTATCATAATGTTATGATAATGTAAATTCAATGTTAATTGATGGCAAATTGAAAATTTAAATCTTGCAAAAAGATGTAAGGTTCATGAAATCAAATAAAGTGACCAAAACACAGTATAAGAGTTCCGGTCAAGATGGCGGAATAGATGGTCCCCAGCGTCACTCTCTCCCACAAATCAACCAATTTACAATTATAAAAATGTAACAATAGCCAAGTTAGGGCCGCTGGAGCTCAGGGGAAGAGGAGGAGAGACCTACGGAGTGCATGAAGGGGGAGAAGCCACGATGAGAGAAAGAAAAAACTGCTCAGAGCATTGCAGGCCATGGCCGCTTTAAGGCTAGAACTGCTGAGTGCATGGAGCAGGAGCTGGCAGAAGCTGCAGCTGTGGCCTTTGGATGGAGTTGCTTGGAGGCAGCAGGGGAGAAGAGGGCCTTGGTGGCCCCCAGGACAACACACCACTAATAGGCTTCCTGTGGACCCACGCAGGAGAGAGGAGCCAGAACAGCTGAAAAGGGGAGCCATTCAGAGGCCAGTGAGTCATCACAAGGGACCGGCATAGGGCCTGCCCCATGGGAAGTGTTTGGAGCATGGGCAATGGAGGAGATGGGCCCACTAGGAGAACACTGGGACACAGCAAGGACAGCCCCCTAATCAGTGCAGGACCACTTAGAGGAGGCTGGTTGGGAATGCAGAATTGCATGGGGTGCAGTTTGATGAAAAGATTCAGGTCCAGATCAGAGTTTCTACACAACCCAGGTGCACTGGGTCTCTGGAGAGCCAGAAGTACCAATAAGGTCAACCGTTAAACCCTGAGTATCAAAAAAAGTCTTCCCTAGGGAAACAGCAGCAAAGCAGCAATTTAGCTCAACCACACAGCTCAAGTACTGGTTCCCACAGGAAGTTCTCCCATTTTAGAAGTAAGCAAAGGACAAAAAATTAGGCATGGAGCTGGGGACCAGACCCTCCGCCCATAGCCAAGCACACTGCCAGTGCCTCAGGGCCCCACCGGGGGCTGGGGTATGGAGCCGGGGACTGGACCCCTCCACCCCCCAACCAGGCACACCACCAACACCAAGGAGCATGCTAAAAACATCACCTCCATGTGAGTGGCCCACCATAGCCACTACAGTAACCACAGCTGCAACAAAAGTGGCTAGACATCACAACCACCACGCAGATGGTCCGCCAGCCACTGTAGTGCATTGACACAAGGACAGTCACCAGCAGAGACCAAAGAAAAGAATAGGATGTCTCTCTCCACAAAGCCCATTCCAGAATGACAGAGAAGCATTTGCTCTATGATAATACTGGGGGACCTGATCACACATCTCAGCATTGGACAGATCATCCAGGCAACAAATCAACAGAGTAACCATTACTCTTTCAGAAGGAGAGAAGAAATCTAGGGTCATCAGTGGTGGGAGGGGGGAGGGAGAGAAAGATGGGGAGAGATTGGACAAGGGGCATAAAGACAAGGGGAATCTGTAACAATATACATACTAGTAATATTGATTTGATCAATATATGTTACCATCAAATCCCAAAATATGTATAGTCGATTATGATTCAATAAAATAAATAAATAAAAACACAGTATGAGAAAAGTAATTAAAAAATGAGAATCTGGTAGTAGACTAGTCAAGAACTGAAGAAAAAATCAACTAGGATTGATAACACAATAAAGCACTTCAAAAGTGTTCAGGAGAGAAGAGAGAATGTTTGAATGTGGACTGAGTCATACAGGCCCCTTTATTAGAAATTATTTCATATTATCACACATTTGCTTCCCCATGTAACTCTGTAGCTGTGGGGCCTTGGATAATGAATAGCTGGACAGCACAGACTTCCTGGACTATGTTTTGTAAATAACACATATGAGGATTATTGTGGGTTGACTGTGTCCCCCCAAAATACATGTTCAAGTCCTAACACCCAGTACTAGTGAATGACTTTATCTAGAAATAGGGTCTTTGCAGACATAATCAACTTAAGATGAGGTCAAACAGACCGGCATCCTTAAAAGAAGAGGGAAATTTGGACACAAACAGAAACACACAGGGAGAACGCCCTGTGAAGATGGAGGTGGAGGCCAGAGTGATGGATCTGTAGGCCGAGGAACATTTTTCCAGCCACCACCAGAAGCTAAGACAGGCAGGGAAGGACCCTACACTAGAGCACCCTCCCCAGCCAACACCTTGATTTTGGACTTCTGGCCTCCAGAACTGTGAAAGAATAAATTTCAAGCCATCAGGCTTGCAGTACTTGGTTATGGCAGCCCTAGGAAACTAACATGAGGATCAATAAAACTTCCTGGAACATTACACTGCAATGTTTCCAAAGGGATGCTCGTCAGGGTGGTGGCAATCTCCCCCTCCTGAACATCTCACATACTCAAACTGGCCTGAACTCTGGTCATCTTTACCACCAGGATGCAGTTCTCATGGGCAGGCTTCTGCTGCTTCTGAATCCTAGGTTTTGGTTGCAGCAACCTGCCCATACGGCAGCCCCTCCTGGGATGGGGACCCCTCCCACAAACTAGAATCCCACTCCTGCTTCCAGCCTGGCATCTCCCATTGCCATGGCTTCTCTGCCACTCTGCTGGCCAGGGGGTTACGGGGCACACAACCCAAGAGGCACTGCCAGACTCTGCCAGTACATGTCAGAAGATGAAAACTAACCACTGCAGACCTGAGTAGTTTTACAAGGATTCATAGGAGAATTATACCTTGAGCACCACAGGGACAATGAGCACATTCAGTCAACAAAATCTTAGCAAGAGACCACTAAGTGTGGGGCTGCAGGGAGGAGCAAGGCCAGGTTCCTGCTCTACAAGAACTGACAGTCTGGACCCAAGTGTGCGAGGGGTGACACAAGGTGCGGCATGCCAAAGGCAGCTCTGTGGGGCCAGAGGAGCAGCACCTGTCAGCAGAGGGGATGGTGGTGAGGAGAGAGACTCTAGGAGCGATAACACATGAGCGGGATCATGAATGTGCAGGAATCAGCCAGGCAGTGTGGGTCAGAGAGAGATGTTCTGGGATTGTCTAGGAGTGGACAAGAAGGGCCTCTGTGAAAGCTGCTTTCTCTGACCCTACAGGGTAGGGCAAGAAGGGAGGATAGGACAGTCTGTGCCCACACAGGGCAGGAGGCCAGCTCTAAATCTAAGGCCAAGCATCTTAGGACTTAATAACATATCCATTAAAGGAGAGTTATTCATATTTTGGAAGGAATTAAACTGACAAAGCATTGAGCTTAGGATTCTTTAAACAAACAATAATGCAACTCAATGCATTTCAAATATGATTCAATCCACGTTAAATTCACACATAATTTTCAAGGATACATCTACTACCTAACCCCCCCCCCCCCCAAAACCAAAAGAGTGTGGACTGCCACACTGAAAAAGACTATCTAAAAACAGAGTGCATTTAAATCATAATTTTGATCAAAGCCAAAGTTCATTGTTACTTACCTCTTTGATGTGATTATAGGCATGTTTGTCTTCATATCTGTAACAAAGAAGTTCTATTAGTTTCAGACAAATTTTCTTTAAGGGGACAAAACACTGAAAACCTAGGAAAGACAAAAAGAAATTCAAGATTCACAAAATCACATGCCTAGAAGGTTAGTACCATGCAATCAGTGATGGCAAAAACATGCTGTGTCTGCCACCCTCCCCTGTGCCCACACCATGGGCAGGCGCTGCTCGTCACTCCCGCCACTCTCGCCAGGATTTGATGCAACCTCAAAATCCTCAACCCAGCGCTCCAGCTAAGCAGCGATGGCAAGCAAAAGGAAACCTCTCTGCCCGGCAAAGGGAAACCTCTCTGCCACGTCTGAATACTTGGATGCCAACTTTCAGATGAGCACCTTGAGGCCCTAGAGATATGCACTTTACCGCCATTCTCCCATCTCCACTGAAAGCTCCTCATGTGCATATAGAAAGGGCTGGAAAAGTAAACTTAATGGCAGTGTTATTTTTGGCATGGATTTGAAAGTTCTGGGGCCCAGCTCTAGGCATCAGGTGGGATGAGTCTTTCCACCTAAAATGTTTATTGGGTCACCTAATGGTCTGGGTTTTAGTCCTGGGCCTCCCTGGTTCTGCCTTTGGGCAAGTCCTTTCTCCTTTCCCAAACTCAGCCTCCTCTGCATGCATTAAAAGTTTAGAGTAGATAATGCTTTAAAACCCTAAAAAAGTGAGCACAACCTCCCAAGATCAGCAGACTACCCAGCAAACCTGTAGACTAGTGAGCAATACAGCTGCTGTTTAAAGCCAGTGAATTTGGGGATGGTTTATTAAGCAGCATTATTGGGACAAGAGATAACTGATACAAAGTCCATTCCATTAGGATTGAACAGTCAAACTGCTATGTTTTAAAATTACTCCAAATAGTTTCTCCCCATATACCAACATGATATACATGTTTGGTTGTTTCGTTTTTATTAAAAAAATTACTTTTTAAAATTTAACTTTGTTTTACAATTATGTAATACATTTATACAAGGTTTCAAAGTCAAATCTATAAGGTTTCACCTTTCTCCATCCTGTTTTATCCCTTCCCATGGGCATTTAAAAAAAAATATGGTTCATCCTTCCATTTAAAAAAACATAAGCAAATATGTACTTATGGACCCCCTTTTTGACCATAGCACACTGTGCACCTTCCTTTACCTTACTCTCTTCACTTAACAATGTATCCTACTGATCTCTCAGTCCTGTCTTAGCTCCACAGTACCTGATGACGGGAATGCACTATATTTATTCAACTGGTCCTCTCCTGACGGACACGTGAGTTTTTCCCAGTCTTTGAACATGACTAATAGTGTAGCAGTGAACAGCCTTGTGCTAATTCTTTTCGTATTTTTGCCAGTGTATCTTTAAGATAAATTCCTAGAGGAAGGATTGCAGGGTTAAAAGGAAATGCATATACTGGACAAGTGGATATCCACATTCAAAACAATGAAGTTGTACCCTCACCATATCCCACATATAAAAATTAATTCAAAATGGATAAAAGACTTAAAACTATAAAACTGTTAGAAGAAAACATAGGGAAAATCTGCCTGAGTTGGCAATGGTTTCTTAAATATGAAACCGTAAGTATAGGCAATAAAAGAAAAAATAGATAAATTGGACTTCATTAAAATTAAAAACTTACACCACTTCACACCTATTAGGACAACTATTATTTAAAAAGAAAAGAAAAAAAGTGTCAGCAAGGAGGTGGAGAAACTGGAACCTCTGGTGCATTGCAGGTAGGAATGTAAAATGGTACAGCCATGTGGAAAACAGTGTGGTGGTTCCTGAAAAAGTTAAACTTAGAATTATTATATGACCCAGTAATTCCAAAAGAACTGAAAATAAGAGGCTCAAACAGAATCTTGGGTGCTAATGTTCACAACAGTATTATTCACAATAGCCAAAATGTAGAAACTACCTGAGTGTCCATCAAGAGGTGAATGGATAAATGAAATGTGGTATATTCATGCAATGGAGTATTATTGAGCCATTAAAAGGAATGAAGTTCTGCTACATGCAATGGCAGGCAGGAACCTTGAAAACATCTATGCTAAGTGAAGGAAGCCAGACACACACACACACATACACGCACGCACGCACGCGTGCGCGCGGCTGGCCCATTAGCTCACTTGGTTAGAGTGTGGTGCTGATAATACCAAGGTCTAGGGTTTGACCTCTGTACTTGGCCAGCTGGAAAAAAAAAAAGAAAGCAAGCAGCCAGACACAAAAGGACAAATACTGTATGATTCCACTTATATATGAAATATCGAAAATAGGTAAGAAAACATAAAGGTTACCAGGGACTGTGGGGAGAGAGGAATGGGGGAAAAGAAAAGTAAGTAAATGCACACTTAATTTTGTTAGAGATTACTAAGTTCCTCTCCGTAAGGGCATACCACTTGCAGTCCCACCAGCGATGCATTAGTGTCTGCTGTGCAGGGCCATATTTCTCTAATTATCATGAGAAATACACTAAGAGAAAAAATTTGTAAATAAAAGAAAAGAGGACCAGCAAATGAGAACTATAACATTAGTATGTTTTAACAAATATGATAATGTCATGCTTATTGCAAATTCTAGTTCTGGAAATAAAACACAAAACTCATTTTGCATAGTACCACAGGTGAGCAGGTACTTAATCACCAGAATCCAGCACACGCACAGTACCCTGGCAGGCAATATTTAACAACAGAAAAGCCTGAAGAACACTTTTGGGGGGGGGATCGGCGGGGAGGAGAGGCAGCTGTTTGATACAGGGATCAAAACCAGGACCTCAGAATTGTCAGCACCATGCTCTCACCAGCTGAGCTAACTGGCCAGCCCCTGAATATCACTTTTGATAATGCCAGAGTAAGATAAAACACATTTTCACCAATTACAAGTACCTTTTTGCTTTGATGAGAATTATTCCAGGTGTTATTTTTGGAAGTAAAATTGCCAGTGTGCATGTTACTTCTTCTCTAGAACTTTACTATATAACCTGAGATGTAATATCAAAAATGAAAGAAAATGGTAATTTGCCAAAAGAACTGAATGATGTACAAGTTTACCTTTCCATCTGGCAACCAGCTTAGGATCTGAAATTGTGAAGTTTGGACGGCTTCTTGAAAGAACACCTTTTCCAAAATAGCCCTTCCAAGAAGAGAAAAAACAAAGTTCCCGGTTATCAGTTTTTCAGCAGAGACCAAGTATAATTATTTGAGTTAACAAGAGGTTCACCCCACTTTTCACAGCTTCACACTTTCCCTTTGATTATCTAATGATTACTAACGATGATTTTAGCTTTTTATCTCTCCAACTGTTCCTTTGTTTTTGTGGCTGGCCGGCACAAGACTTGAACCTCTGGACCTTGGAGTTATCAGTACTGTGCTCTAACCAACTGAGCTAACCAGCTAGTCCTCTCCAACCACTTGAAGAATACTAATAAGTTTTTAGCACACCTCATTCATCTCATAAGTAAGACTTCAGTCTGAGTCTGATGAGCTGAGGGCAGGAAGAGGCAGACTTTCTTCCCCACATGTGGTTCAGGAACACAGTGTGCCTGCAAGCAGGAGCCATGTGTATTAGGTACAAAAAGCTTTTTGGATTCTTTTGCACTCCAGAGTTGAAGTATTTTTCTTCCTACTGATTAGAAAAAATAAATATTTCCCCCCATTTTTAAATTATAAAATATTTAAACACATAGAAAACTGAAAGAATAATAAAATGAACACCGTTTATCCTCTACCTAGATTAAAAAACCAGAATAAACAACGTGAATAGCGCTTTATAAAGCCTCTTGCTTAATGTTGCGCATTACGAATGAAGGCCTCACTGGTGAGCTGTCGGGGGACAGTGCCCTTGGCCCATTCAGGACCCTACCTCATCAGGGTCAATGCCACTCACTTTCTATAAAATGGCTAGAGAAGGCACATTTATGGACAGGAAGCCACTCAGTGGTTGCCTTGGTCTGGGAGTGGGAGCGCAGGTTAAGTACGATGTGCACAAAGGAACTTTCTGTGGTGATGGGAACAGTCTAAAACTGGATTGCAGCGATGGTTGCACAACTCTATAAATTTATGACAATCACTGAATTGTACATTTACAGTGGGTGAATTTTACGGTTGTAAATTATACCTCAATAAAGCCATTTTTAAAAATGCCCCCAGCAATGAATAGACTATGGAAAAAAAAAAAAAAAAAAAAAATAACAGTCTCAACCCAAACCTTTTCTTGCTGGAAAAGGTTGCACAACTCTATAAATTTATGACAATCACTGAATTGTACATTTACAGTGGGTGAATTTTACGGTTGTAAATTATACCTCAATAAAGCCATTTTTAAAAATGCCCCCAGCAATGAATAGACTATGGAAAAAAAAAAAAAAAAAAAAAGCTAACAGTCTCAACCCAAACCTGTTCTTGCTGGAAAACAGTAAAACCTAGAACTTGTCCTCATCTAAGAAGACCCCCAGTAGGAGAGTGAGCAGACAAGGAGCCAGAGCACATGCTGAAGCTTCTACTGATTTGTCTGTGAGCTGGAACAACCTGCCACTCTGTGGTTACTCCTGGGAATGGCATGGGAATTTTCACTTTTTACCTTTGTGGGGAATTTTCACTTTATAGCTCAATTTCTGTAAATTACTTGTTTGCCTGTTTCCTTTTTTCTCCTTTAATGAACATAAATTGCTTTTATAATTGAAAGACAAAAAAGGTCAGTCTGTTAATCCTACTTCATCATTAAAATGCAGGTCTGTGGGTGGGGGCTGTCCCTCTGTCACTTCATTACCTTCATCATGTATGGCTTTTGGGTACCCGCTCCAAACCGTACTGCTCCTTTACTGGGCCAAACTGCAAGGAAAGACTATGCTTGGGGGGATGGATGGGATGGGGAGAAGAAGAAAGGATAACCTGCTCAGGGTTGTCAGGAAGTAACCTTACCGAGGCCGCCTGCACTTACTTTCCCATACAGCTGCTCAATATCCTCTGCGTTCTTCACAATTACATTGTTGTTAATCATTTCAGCACGGAATATTCTGAATTCTTTCTTAGGACCATGGTCCTGGCCAAAAGGGATTGGCAATGGAGACTCATAACTTTCATAAACTCTTCTTTTCCTCTTGGGGGCATGGAAAACTGCTTCTGCCATTTTTCAAGGGTAACTGTTCCTTAGAGAGTAAGCAAGCAGAAAGAAACAGATATTCAATCAAAAACTACAGTGATCAAAATTGTGAACTCATTTATACCCAGGCTCAGAAAACTTTGCTGGCTGTGGAAAAAAGAGAACATTTATAAAGCAATAAACTAAAAGACACAGAGCAATAACATCTTGTATGAGCAGTGCAAATCACATTTATCTAGAATATCTTGATTAATCCCCACAACAGCCCCCAAGTCAGTGGTATTATTTTTAACTATAGCTGACAACACTGAGGCCTAGTGACATGCTCAAAGTCACAATGCTTGGTCTCCTGACAGCAAGCCCAATAGCATTTCTGCCTATCAGGAATACCTCCATTTTTTCACTCGGCCAACAGACATTCACTGAGAACCTACCAGGAGCTCCTGATAATCAGAGGTGCTGGGGATATAAAGATAAAACCAAGAACGACCCTGTCTTTAACAAATTAAATCTAGCCAGCGCTTCATTACCCAAAAAAGGACCTTAAGATACATTCTAAACATTGGGTCAATCAGCTCCCAGTTTTTAAGGTAAATTAGTAAATAACAACCATAATGACAACAGTAATATCATTTAAGTGTCTTTTACGTGGCACTAAACAGTAGTGGTATGAGCAGGGACTCGAAAGCCAGACCACTAGGGTTGGAATCGGCTCTACCACTTCCTAGCTGTGTGATTTTGGGCAAAGGTTACTGAATCTCTCGTGCTTGAGTTTCCTCATCTACAAAATAAGGATTAAAAATAGACTATCTTATGGTTAAGACCCATAAAGTGCTTAAAAAGTACTTGGAACATAGTGAGTGCTATGCATGTATTAGCTATAATCATTATCATGGGGTGAGCACTAAAAACACCATTTTGCAGATGAGGGAACAAATTTGGGTTAGAGATTTATGAAATGCCCAGAGTGGAGGCACTGGATGACTCCAGGTCTGCTGAACTCTGAAGCCCAAGTTCTTCTGTCTGGGTTCTGCTGCAAGCACAGACAACATCTGTCCACTTGTGTCTGAAGGCTCACTATTTCTCAAAGTCAGAAGCTGAAGAGTTACTGAGTAATTATGGAACTACCTGCTGTGCACCCAGCAGTACAAGGGAGAAAAGGAAAACAAAGTCAGTACCTCTCTCCCTTCTGGGCCTTACACTTGACCCAAGGAGACAAAACAAGCAATAACACACATGCAAGCAAGTCAGGTAACACAAGAGACTGCAATCCAACGTCAGCTAAAGGAAGAAAGTAAAGTTCAGTGCACTGTGCAACGCGGACATAGAGCCCAGAAGATGCATTTAACTTGGGAAAATTCAACCATACACAAGGGGAAAAGTGTAAGCAGTGCAAGAGATTCGGCTAGTCACTCCACTCAACGAGCAGATGATTTGGAATGAGATGGGAGAGTCGAATCTGCTCCTCCCTCAGTATCAAGTCTGGACTTGATTTAAACTGAGAGCTTATCTGGTGCTTGAAGACACAGTGGAGCCGTACCATACACATGTTTATCTTACATGACTCCACGCCCTCACAAGGAAAAAAAAAAAAGACTGATTATTTAGGTGCCCCCGGCACTCAATTCCAGCATCCCACTAGGCAATGAATGCAACCAAGCCTGAAACAGTCAAGAAGGTGGCCAAAGCAGAGGGGGAGGAGGTGAGTGGTTTTAAGGGTCTCATGACCATTAACACAAAATTAAAAGCCTTGATCAGTGTATGCTGATACCTTTACCCAACTTTGCAAGGAAGAAGTTGAGGAATTAAATGATGACACAGAAAATCAACCAAGGAAGAGTTAAAGGAACTGATAAATCAATTACAAAGATAACCATGAAAAACAAGAAGAATCAGCAAGTTGGAACCTGCCTAGAACTGCCATAGTGTTCCAAGCAGCAACATACTAGAATAATTCTTAATAAGGTCGATCAATGGAATTACACAGTGAGCATTATATACTATAATTACATAAATTATGCACTATGTATTTGTGCATACTGCTGTGTAGCATTTACAACAGCATTATAGGCAGAGTTTTGTCCACTGCATTTTACTAGGAAACCTAAGAGATTTTCTTCCAAGGACATTTTGACTAGACTTTCACTTTACTTACTGACTGATCTGTCTACCCAAGCCAACTATCATACCTAGTACTCAACTGAAGAAATGGCAATTCATTCTAAAACTGAAAATTAACAATGCTGTTGGTTATTTTGAGGCAGGATGTTGGTCTCTAGGAAAGTACCTTCTAGATTTCCAGGAACAATTTGGGCTTTTATGAGATTTTCACTTTTATAACTTAACCTCTGTTTAGTATTTGACTTGTATATATTACAATTGGAATTTGAAAAAAAAGGAAAAAACTTAATGGTTAACTAAAGAAAATCCAATTAAATTTCTTCAACAAATGAAAAGTTATGTTTTAATTTGCCTGGCTCATCACGGTTTTCCTTTTCAGATTGCTGTCATACCCTATAAAAGGCAAGACTCAGCTATGACACTTGACGCAAAAACTGTACTCCAACCCAAGTGTGTGTGACAGAAGGGTACCTGCCAGAAAACACTCTCCATTAACCTCATCATCAGGGTTCTAGTGTCACTCCTGCCATGTGACTGCACACACAACAAGGATTCAGCTCACAGTAGGCCTTCCAGACATGCAATGCTGCCACTGTTATCGAATGACCTTGCATGATGCACTTAAGCACTCTGAGCCCAGTTTCTTCATCTTCAAATTGAATGGGACTGGAAGACAGTCTGGCAGTTCCTCAAAATGTCAGTTACTACACGATCCAGCAATTCCACTCCTAGGTAGAGACCCAAGAGAACTGAAAATATATGTTCATGGAAAAATTTGTATATAAATGTTCACAGTATTATTCATAATAGTCAAAAAATGGAAACCATCCAAATGTCCACCAACAGACGACTGATCAACAAAATGTGGCCTATCCATACAATGGAATGTTATTTGGCCATACAAAAGGAATGAAGTTCTGATACAGATACATTCTAAAACATGAATAAACCTTGAAAGCATTATGCTAAGTCAAAGAAGCCAGACACAAAAGACCATGTACGAGACAATTAATATGAAATGTTCAGAACAGGCAAATCCAGAGACAGATAGATTAGTGGTTATCAGGGGCTGGAGAAAGAGGGAAATAGTGAGTGACTACTAACAGATATGGGGTTTACTTTGGGGGGGTGGTGTGTGATAAAAATGTTCTAAAATTAGATCACAATGATGGTGATAGCTGCACAACTCTGAACGTACTAAGACCACTGAATTGTACATTGTAAAATGGTGAATTTTATGAAATTTTATAATATCTCAATATAACTACTGTTTTAGAGAATTTGATGCTGATAACACCAAGGTCAAGAGTTCACATCCCCATACTGGCCAGCCGCAAAAAAAAAAAAAAAAAATCAGCAGGAGGAAAGACATCCGTCAAGCCATGTACTGCCAAGAACGGCTTCATAGACACCAGCACAAGGCTTCTGGAAAAGACTGAAAAGAACTCTCTCACAAGACTGAGTTCACTTTCCAAGGGGGGAAAAATTTGGTAGGGCAAACCCGATGATCTCTAAATTTCATGGAACAGTTCTCTTGTGCTCAAATTAAAAGGTGAAGCAGAGGAGAAAGGACTGCATTTGCCATTCTCCGTATCACAAAAGACATTCAAGAAATGTTTCTTTAGTGCCATGATAGAACAGCGTAAGAGGTGGGGTTTGAGTAAAATTAGAAGAGGTAGCCATGACAGGTAGGTACAAGGTGCCAGGCACTGATTGCTCCATATGTTACATATGTGGGTACTACTATCCTTATTTCATGAACAGAGAAACCGAGGCTCAGAGAAGACATTTGCCCAAAGCCCCATTGCTAGGGGTCATAAGAGGTTAGTAAGGCAGAGAGAGAGAGGGCATTGTAAGTAGACTGGCCTAAAAGAGGAACTTTCTCTAAAGCACACGAAAATATATGGGAAAAGATTGGGTCAGCAGTCAGGGGGTTTGGGATGCATAGGCTATTTCAGACTTAAAGCACTGCAGGTTCTTAAGCACAGAAAGACTGTCGAAAAGAGCAGATTTAGACAATTAATACAGGAGTGGTATCCTATATAAGGGTGGCCTGCAAGCTTGGCTACCCTTAACTCCTAATGCCCAGGCCTTATCTAGAATGAATTACATCAGAACTTCTGGGATGAACCCTGGTGATTTCAACATGTAGTCAACGTTGCCAACCACTGGTGACAGCACGGTCTATTCAAACTCACTAAATCCCAACAGCCCCCTGAAGTACTATTCTTATGCCCATTGTACAGATGAAGAAACCGACTCAGAGGGGCTGAGTGTACCTGTAAAGGATTTACTTTTCCTCTCGAAACCTGGGCATGCTTCACTCAAGAGTGCATGTGGAGTTAAGTATATTTACTTTCTATCAAAAGCAAGGCCTGCTCCTTAAGCAGACAACCTAACACCTTTTAGGTGCTCAGTAAATTTCTATTCCAAGAACAAACGAAAAGGGAGGAGGTGGCTGCATTTAATTTTCCAACCCCCTTGATCAGGTGCCAAAAAAGCCTGGTTAAAACCTCCCACCCAGAGAAGCTCACCGTTTAAAAACACGTTTGAAGCTTCAACGGAGTTACCTCCTGGGCTCAGGGAGGCAAGAATGAAAAGGCTAAGGTAAACAATCCGGCCTCTATGGAGCTTTCAAGTTAGAACGCGACAATAAGACATACAAACAAACGATAAACCTTTGAAGGCTGTTGAGAGGATTAAATGGGCAATTGTGCGGAAGGCGCCGATCACACGGTAGCAGCAACCGCAAGACTTGATTGCGCACAAGCCAAGAAGTGTGAGGGGCCGGACGAATCGGTAAGGCCCCGTGTTAACTTATCCCTTTGCTTCTTTCCGTGAGGCCGCACCTCGGCGTCCCCAAACCCCAGCACAGGCAAGGTGAGGGCTTACAGAGTGACTCAGAA